TTTTTTTTTTTTTTTTTTTTTTTTTTTTTTTTTTTTTTTTTTTTTTTTTTTTTTTTTTTTTTTTTTTTTTTTTTTTTTTTTTTTTTTTTTTGTGATGTAAAAGTGTGATCGGGGTTGATTCCCTGATATGAATAAAATGACAAGATTGGGAAAAGTTGTTGGTGTTATTTTGTGGTGTTGTTTTTTTTTTTTTTTTTTTTTTTTTTTTTTTTTTTTTTGAAAAAAAAAAAAACATTAATTAAAAAAAAAAGGTTTTTTTCTTTTAATGGAAAAAAAAAAAAAACAAATCTGGGTAACAAAAAAATAAAAAGAATTGTCAGTTATTTTAATTGAAGTGTAATTTTTAACATGAACAGATCAAATAAATATATATGTAAAACTTATACACAATTAATTACATATATGAACAAACTTTCAGTCATTTATTAAACCTCACTCATTAATACAATTTATAATTCTTTTAAAATTTAAAATTTATTAAAAATGGCCAGTTTATAATGATTTTTTTTTTTTTGAAAAATACATATTTTTCAACAATTATTTAGTTGTCAATTAATTTACTTTTTCAAATAAAAATTCGGAATTTACTTTTTTTCCAAATTAATTTTGTGTAAATCACATTTGTTTTAATTTTTTTTCCCAATTTCTGTTTTGAACTATTTTTCTTATCCAACTAATTTTTTTCAAGTAATTTTGTTCCAACCCTAATGTGTACGGTCTCGTTATCATAAATAATAAAAATTAAATTGAAATATATTTTCGCCTTAACCGCGAACTCTTTTCTTTAGTTGATGTTTATAAAAAATGTAAAACATTTTCTCAAAATCTGTTAAGAATTAAATATGAATTTCTATGTTTTTCTACAAATAAAAAAAAATCAACTTATAAAATTATTGAATTTCTCAGAAATTGAATAAATTACCAAAAAAATTTATGAACGACATTTCAAAAAAAAATGCAATTCTTGTCATGAAATTTGACTGTGAGGCAAATGTCAAAGGCATCCAATAGGTGCAAAATTGAACGAAACTAAAGGATGATCTAGTTAAATAAAATTTATAAGTACATTACAAACATAACTGATACTGCAGTTCGAATATTGTGCATTACAAATAGTTCCATAAGTCCAAAGGCTTGCTACGTGGGTCACATTCCGAAACAAATTTCCACATCGAAAACAGCATATTCACAATAGTCCCAACCTACGTATATAAAACAAATGGTCGCATATGCGAACACGAACTCTTGCCATATCCACATCTGTATCCCCAACCATGAGCCCATCATCGAGATTTTGTCCGCCAGCGTGAACGTCGGGCATGTCATCCGGGGCTGATGAAACAAAATATTGTCTGTCGTTGCCCAAGGCAGCTATCTCGTGTGTACGAATAAAATTGTGTAAGGCCATTGATGCACCGACCAACGGCACTTGCACCGTCGCAAAATCATAGTCTGGCATGTTGTGCAGGAACTTCCACCGAGATTTCCACACTCCAAAAGTCCTTTCCACTACACTCCTTAGTGACGCATGCGCTTCGTTAAACATTTCTCTCGGGTTATCGGGTTGTCCATGTTCCCGAAATTGTGCTTGATGATACCGAGACCCTTTGAATGGTTGCCAGGTACCCCTTCTTGTTTGGATATCCCGCATCCATAAGGTAATATTTACCTATAGTTAAATAAAATTAAATAAAAAAAATAATTATATACACGTGACATGAACCCCAACTAGTTGTGAATTTGAAATTTGTTACCTTTTTGTGGGTGCGGAAACGGTACACGCTGATTTTCAATTACTTCTTTAAAGATGCGACTATCATGCATGCTTCCATCCCAGCCGCAGGAAATAAAAATGAAGCACATGTCAAAGTCTGCCATAGCTAGTATATTTTGGGTTGGATACCCTTTTCGGCCGTAATATGTGGCTGCATCACGGACAGGCAACACAGCTTCTACGTGAGTTCCATCCAACGCACCTATACAATTCTGACATAATAGAACACATCACAACTATTTAATTGAACACCGCATTGTACACAAGTGTTGTTAACGACAATTACAGCATTCTCACCTTGAACGGTATGTATTTGCCTCTTGAACGCAATTTGGGATGCCTACTAGTTTGAGCTCTGGTTGGCTTGCAATGCTGTTCAGTGAACAACTTCATTGCATCCAACACTGCATGAAAATGTCGAGAAACCGTTTCTCCCGAGCGTTGAAACCACTCTTGAATGCTTCGGTTTTGGTAGTCGGCCAAGGTATGTATGAACATGGCAACACTTTCTTCAATGTGTAACCCATGAGGTCTTTTAGGTACCCGTAAACCAAAATCTCGTCGTAATGTATGACATAACGCGTTAAACACATACAGAGGCATATGCAAATTTTCTTCACCCTTACCCAAGTGTCCATCAAATAATTCTTCAATCCATGCACGACCGGTTAAAATTGAAGTTCGACATGGGATCTTGTCCATGTACTTTACATAATATTCCATTGTATGTCGCGCTGCTTCAACGATTACATCATTCTGTTGGTCCTCTTGATCTTCTCCTTGCTCGATTATGTAATCATCATTATTTCGATGCAGATTGCTACATTCACCATTCCACATATCAACAGTGTTGAACCCTACAATGCACATCTCACAGGATTAATTACGTTGACCATGTAGTCTTATCGTATTGCATAAACTACTACACAAAATAACAAAGAATGGCAACACCTATGCATACATCCACATTTTCCTACAAACCATAAAGAGGAATGCAGTCAATGAAATTGAACACTTGTAGTTACGAATGCTGGTATAGTCAACACAAACCACGCATCAATGAAGCAATACTGCATAAAATGTTGGACATTAGGTCCACATCCATTCACCCAAAACATTAATATTAACTAACAGTCCTGATAAGCAAAGCTAGCAAAAAGCAAAAATTAAAAAAAAAAAAAAACAGCACAAGTCATGTCCACAAACACCCACAATTGTTTCCATTATCCCAAAAAACAACAAACCACAGTTCTCACAGTCCTTTGGCGGCCTTCAATGCCGCAAGCCAACCGACCACATTACCATCATCAGGCATGCACATTAGTATCTCACAGTAATCTGCATTCTCCAAAGCAATACAGGCAAAGTGGAAAAGAGGCGTACTGAGAAAGTCGGGTATAGCCATAATCCTCTACATGCATGCCTCAATGCCATACTTTTGAGATGCACCAGTTCCATGCCTGATCGTAAGGTGCTTCTATGAACGAACAGCCTCGGAGAGATGGTTGAAACTGTTTACAAGCACTGATGCGCCAGTGGACGGCTTCTTCGACTTTCCACTTGAACTCGCCCCCTTCTTGTGCTTTGACCCTTGCTCCGCTTCATCTACGTGGACAATGGAGGAGGGTGGTGGTGACTCCACAACCGGTTCATATGGCGCAGTAAATGGCTGCAACCCAGGTGAGTCAGCAGAATCGGATTCACCGTCAGCAATGTCCACAACAGGCTCGCCAGGGGTCCAATGATGTTTCCCAGTCGCAGTTACACCTGTGAAAACTTCCCGCATCAAATCTTCATGTTCCAATGGCTTTGTCTTGAATTTGTAAGCTAGCTTGTTTGTCTGCAAATGAGAAGAATAACAATTAGAATCCCAAATTAAAGTTGTAGAGTAACAAACAACCAAAAAAATTACGAATATGAATTAAACAATACAGTACAACATGCTATATTCCAATGCATACCGATTTCAAATGTTCCCACCATTCGTCTGACGCGGTGAACAACCCGATTGACCTGTCGAACCCAATCCCAATTACACCCTTACTGGTGTCCATCAATTTATTCCATGCCTGCCACTCCTTCTTCAAAGCAAGGTACTTGTTCTTGAACTGTTTCATGTCATGACGCCTGCCTGTGCGCTTAGCAAATTACACAGAAATTTCCTTATACCCAGCAACTGAGATAGTTGTACCTAGCCTACGTCCCGCTAAAATTTGCTCCCGCACACACTCTAAAAAAATTTCGATTGATACACTGTCCCAAGTTGCTTTATGCGAAAGATCAATGTAATCAGGCAACCTTTCAGTAGGCAACTGTCCAACACCTTTATGTTTGGACAGTGTTCGAGGGGAGGAGCGTGTTGCCTCCATTGAACTAATTACGGTAGAAGGTAGTGTACACATTTTACACAAATAAATTAGAAACGGAAAATAGACAACATATCACAAGCACATATGATATGCAAAATTAAACTGGAATGTAGGAGAAACATAGGACATAACTAAAAATAGAAAGGTGCATTTACAGTAGTCCAGTTTTGTTACTTCAGTTACTAGTTAGACAAGCATCCAATGTACATACGCGATGTTGTTACAACATTTTACATGCACAGTAATAATATGATAACCGTTATGCACAACACAGAAATAATTGTTTTAATGACACGCATGGTATTAAAAATTTGCACGATGTCAACCCGTAACTGCATCACTTTGGTTGGGGATGAGTCATGGTCGGGGCTCGGTCTCCCTGATTCATCACACCAACCAATCCAATTTACACATTGCTGATGAGCAACAAACATAACTGTGGTTAGCTAATGAAGTTCAATTTTGCCAATAAATGGAGATTCAAAAAACATATTTTACACAACTCACCACAGGCCGAAGACAAACATAATATGCACGACCAGGATTTTTGTGGGATCTGAAAATCTTAACAAAACAATGGCCATAGCCGCAAGCACACATTCGCCGTGGCCCTGTTAACGTGCTAGTGGACATAGACGAAGCCATCCGCTGTTTCTTACTAACAAATATTTAGTAAAAATAGTGATTTTTAGAATTTACGAATACACTTTACAGATAAAACAGGTTCATCTTTAGTATAAATAATAATGATCTGATGTGATTCTATCTCAACAAACATGCGTCATCTATAGTTTGGCGTGGTCCGACATTATCATTTCAACTCTTAAATGAACAACTGAACCAATACATATCACCGTTGTTGTCGTTATTTATATTGAAGAGCTATAAAATAGAATAGAGTATTTTCACAATTATTTGAATATGAAACGACAAACTCTTAAATGAATCACTCAACCAATAGATACCAACTGCCATATATGTATTTATAAATTATAATTTAGAAACTACAAATGTAGTCGAATAACATGAACTGGGCCATGGAAATGAGGGCATTGCCAATTCTAATAACACATTTTTTCATGTCTTGGTTTTGAGTAAACAAAATAATTTCATGTCTTCGCTTTACCAATTGTAAGAACAAATTTTTCCCCCCATCCAAATGAATACCTAAAGCCTACAAGGGCAACACTAAAATAGAACACTCAAAACAAGACAGAACGATCAAATTTCCACTGATTATTATTAGTATTTTGCTATTGTTTTTAATGAATAAGGGAGCCAGTATATAAGAAAGTCCATGGAACAATTGAGTTAGTATAACAACTTAATTCAATAGTCTTATCCCAATTCTCTGACCCTACCACTTGCTGGAGCAAATTTAGCAAAGGTGACCAAGTTCAGAGCATTGCAGTGTAAAAGAACTAACACATGTGGAAGTACAAAATCATTATGCATAATTCAGAGAAGTGAACTTAGTATTAAAAATGAGATTGATAACTGAATGGAAACCGTTAACTGAACATTCTTAATATTTATCATTCTATTAACAATTCATCTTAGTTGATCAACAATATGTACAAGGAACTATAACCAGCATTTTCCCCAGCATGTAGCTCTTGTGCTTAAATTAATAAATATCTCACAAGTCTAATCTACTTTCATCAAAATTACAAGAAGATAATAAGGTTTAGGCATATTGCAAATTCAAAACTATGGTGGTGAATCTATTTACTTTAACATCTTGATAATATGGTGGTAAACTATAACCAGGAAATTCATTATGCATTTTACAAGAAGATAATAAGGTTTAGGCATTTTGATAATAAGACAATCATGATAAAATAAATAAAATAATGAACAGAAATGACGAAATGAGAAAATCAGATTAAAATAATGAACAGAGCATTGAAGATTCCCAACATGTTGTACCCTTAATTTAGATTAATTGATAGGCTTCACAGAAAATTTTTTTGCTCCATCTCATAAACACAGATTGACAGAAAATTATTGAAAATTTTGGTCCATCTCATATATGGCGCACAAACACAGATGGACAGAAAAAAAATGGGAAAAACACAGTGGATTGTGAATGATAATAATGGAAATCAAGGGGGATTACATCATTCAAATGAGAAAAACAGGGGAAAAAGTGGGAAAAACTGGGTTGTGAATGATAATTATGGAAAAAATTGTTTTGAAACCAAAAAAAAAAAAAAAAATCCAAACCTAAGCAACGATTACATCACTCCAACCGTGAATGGTAATTATAGAAATCACAGGGGAAAAAACCTGGGTAACTCAACACAAAAAAAATGTTCAGAAAAAAACCTTTGCGGTTCTGTGGAAGGCATTTAACTAAGGCGAGAAAAGAAAAAAAAAATGTTGTCAGCAATTTATATTTGGAGAAAGACGGATCATCACCAGATCGACATAAATACCAACTGAATACCATCACTATGGGCCAAAACAAAGGAAGATGTCATAGATCGGAATGGAAAAAGTTTCAAACCGAGTCGACAAAAGTAACAAACACATGTATAATCAGTTCACGTGATTTACCTGTCGTTGTTCTTCGCCCATCGTGTTCTGTGCAAAGCAGAGGTCCGCCGAAGAGAAATCAGTCACACACTGGTGTTGCTACAATCGATGTGAGAGACGGAACGAAAGAGATGAAAATAGGGCACTTGGGTTTCAACTGTGTGTATAACCCACACCCTTTGAAATAGTCAAAGACCAAAATGGTAATTACATCCCCAGTTTCTAACGTAGCTGTACCACGTGTGACTGTTCACGCTTTTTGGCTGAAATTTAAATTGAGGCTATAATAGCCTAAATCTCAGGTTCCCAAACAACGCCATTGTTGTTTGCACAAGTAACCATATTGTTCTATTCTCATTTTTTTATTATAGTAGAACTAGTGTTAGCCATGGCCGTAGATAATCTTGCCAAATCACATGTATAATTTTTTTGTTTTTGTTTTTATTTTTGTGATTGATTACTCTGGCAATTGTGTGATTTATTCTACACAATCACCGCATGGCAAAGTTGCAAGATCAGATTGCATCTACTTTACACTTGGCACAGGTCAGCGGGAGTAATATAAGTGCACTAGTGGAAACCCAAATGAGCCCCAAATTGCCCAACCTCATTGTATGCATTCAGAGCTATATATTCTGGATTAAAAACCTAAAAAATGCTTTAGACCACTAATTTAATACCACTAAAATACCATTAATGATGTGGCACCATGTGAATCCCACCACTAATGTGATAGTTTAGCCTCTCTTTTTTTTTCCTTGCATTGCCAGCTCATTAGAGCTGGCATTAGTGCTCCCATTTTAGAGCACTGAATCATGGATCCAAGCAAAAACATCTGAAGGAGAAGTCAGCACATACCTGGTACCAATAGGCACTGTGATTTGGAATTTGACAAAAAAGAAGTGATAGATATTTTCTACATTCAACACAAATCAGCTGCATTGCTACCTATTTTACCATCTTTAGAACAAAAACTGAAAATACTAAAGTGCTAGTTATCTATATAATGAAAGCAAGACACTTTCTTCTATATACATATGAGAAAGGGTACAATAGCAAGACTGGAAAATCCAAATTCAACATGTTAAGCGGACAACTGATTGAAATATGTAGAAGCCAAAAGACATATATTAAGCTGTAAAGAAGCCAGAGACACTAAACAACTGCAACTTCCTCCAAATGAGAGTCACTCTGAACTTTACCGTGAGATTCCAGGACATTTCGTGCTGCTTCCATGACAGCTTGTCCATTGACATAGTGCTGGCGGCACACAGGCATGTAGACATTGGAACCACCAATCAACTCCGTCTCTGTTTCATCAGTCTTCCGTAAGGTAAAGAAGGCCCGCTTGCCACAAAGCTCACATCGAGCTGTCAGCTTGGTTATGGAATCAGCAATAGGTATTATATCAAGCACTGAACCAAAGGTCCTTCTGCAATAAACATTTTAATTTTACATAAAAAGATTGCAGAGAAAAGGCAAAATTTTAAAGTAAAAATAATAATAATAATAACATAAAAATGAGTAACAAGCAAAAACACCACAACAAAGGCCCGTCACAAATTTGCATCAAGGAAAAGAAAAAAAAAAATGAATTAATCTGTTAGAAAAACCTCAAATAGTCCCCATCTAGCCCAGCAACTATTACAGTTTTCCCATCATGGTCAGCAACCTCGCAGCAAAAATCATAAAGGTCGCCAAAAAATTGAGCTTCATCAATGCCAATCACATCCAGCTGCCAACATGTAACCAGCATTTAGAAGATAATAAAAAAAAAAAAAAAAAAAAATTAAAAAAAAAAAAAAAAAAAAAAAAAAAAACTCCAACCTTAAATATAGGACTGCAATGGTGTTAATCATGAATAGCATTTGGTTTCACATTTTTTAAAAAAATAAAAAAGAGAGCCTAAACAGTTAAGATTCTTGTTTGAAATAGCAAACAAAAGCATATCAGCCCAATTACACCTATTGTTACTTTCCAGTAGCATAGCAATATTAATCATGACAATGCTTCAATAGTCCATGATTCAATTAAATCCTAGCTCACATATAGTTTACCGACACCAATAATTAGAAAAGTAACTTGTACAATGTCAAGCCACAAGAAACAATCAAATTCTTCTTACATAAAACCATGAAGATTATAGTAACATCACTTCAATATCACTTACAATATATCAAACACATCCAACTTATGAAGCTACCAAGCCCATAGAACAACTGGGACACCATAGACTCAACCAAAAAAATATTAAAAAAAAAAAAACGCACACACACACAAATCAAATGGTTCAAGTTTGAAATACCTTGGCATAAGCCTCATCTCCAAATTTTTGCCTAAATGACAACAGATCCGGCAACGCCCAACAGGGAAACTTTGTCCCATCATGTGTCACCACCGAGTCAACCGCATATCTCGTATCCTTGCTTGACTTTATTATTGCAACATTTCTACATTTACATGGTTGGCCCCAAAATAATAGTTAAAATAAAATAAAATTCTTTATGCATCCAACATAAACTTAACACATTGTTATCATCTACAATTAATTAACATTCAGAATTTCTTAACTGCATAACACCATAAAAGTGTTGAGAATAAATTGCACAAATTAAATTACAAATCAGAACCCAACTTTACAAATCTGGGTAAAGCTTATATCTCTAGCTACTTATCAGAATATCCGAATTAAACTCGAATCCACGAAATTAACAAAGTCAACAAAGTACCTGCCATTGTTGGCCTCAGATTTGACTCGACGAAGGAGAGCTGTTGTTTTTCCAGCGAACATTGGCCCAACAATGACGTGAATCTCACCGGAAGGGTGGTGAGACAGACCCATCCGATCGCTGCTGCTGCCGTCAACTGATGAAGCCAATGAAAGTGGGGATTTGAAGGAAGACATTGGAGGGAATTAGAGAGAGGGAAGTAGGGTTTGATTGAGATGAGGATTTGAAAAAAATTTGGGGAGGATTGAAGGAGAAGCTTGAGAGAGAAGTTAAGCACTTATTAGGCTTCATCGTTGTATACATATATATGTGCGTGTGTGTGGTTTTTTGAATTTGATTTGGTGAGAATTTGAAAGTTGGAGGGAATGAGCTGGAGTTCTGAAAATGTTTTTTTTGGTTTTTTTGTTTCTGTTTTTGGATGGAAAAATACGGAGAGAACTGTTGCCCATCTTATTGGGTCAATTTCAATCCTCATTTCGCTAATTTGAACTTAAAAGATATTAAGGGGTTATTTGGGGTGTCTTAAATAAGTGTATTTTTTATTTTTTTAGATTAAAAAGTTGAGGAAAAAAATATAGATGTTTAGGTTAACATTTTGACTTTTTATAAAAAAATATGTAATAAAAAATTATAAAAATTGGTTTGTAGAAGAAAATTAAGATTGGGAGTTATGCAGCCGTAATTGTTGACTTTTGGTGAATAGTGTTAACTTTTTAACTTTTTAAATAATTTTTTAACTTTTTAACTTTTTTTAAGTATTTCAAACTTGGCCTAAGTAAAATATATATATATATATATAAATCACGCCGATCAAATATATTGATAATTTCATCAAATCACAATTATATTTTAAAAAATAATAATAAATATAATTTAAAATATAAAACTCAATACAAATATAATTTAATAAAAAAAATTAATAATTTCTGATAAAAAAAATTATAAATACGTTTTACACAATATCTTTTAAAATATGAAATCGAATTGAGCCCACAAATGGGCAAGGCGCGCAACAGACGACAGAAAAAGGAGAGGCGCCCTTTATTACTTCAGATTACATGTGAAGGAGCTGGGATACGGTGTGGCGCTTTTTTATTAACAATGCCACGTGGATACTTTTAAATGTCTTTATTAGATCATCTTCCAACCCATCCTCCATATTTATGGAGGATCCTCTACCAAAAACAACTCCAACCCATCCTTTATGTCCTCCTCTCAAATGGAGGAGGATGAATTGATCCTCCAAATATAGAGGGAGGATGAAAAAATAGAGGAGATTCTAAAATACTATTCACTCTATATTTCTAAATTATATTCGAAATAACTTTTAATGTGTAAATTTAATTTTTATAAAAATGATATCAATAAAAAGTATAAAATCATACCTTTAAAATGAGTATAATATTAAATATGTTTTACAAAAATTTTAAAATTAAATATTTATTAATGAACAAAAATTACTTTTTTATTGGAGTTTGAATGAAGGAAATGAAGATTTGTGGTTGAAGTTTGAATGAATAGTAACCTCCTCTATATTTACTTTTTGAATAAAAAATATTATTTCCATCCTCTTAAGAAGAGGATGTGGTTGGAGATGCTCTTAAGGCATCTCCAATGCATGCTCATTTCTTCAAATATGGAGGATTCTCTCCCAAAAACAACTCCAACCCATCCTCTATATCCTCCTCCCAAATGGAGGAGGATGAATTGATCCTCCAAATATAGATGAAGGATGAAAAAATGGAGGATCACTCTAAAACACTATTCACTCTTTTTTTAATCTTTAATTTTGTCTTTATAACTTAATATGTATATTCAATATTTTTAAAATTAGTTTCATTAAAAAGATAACTGTTTGGGAAGAAAAAGCTCAGGCTTTTTTGGCTAAAATAGCCACAAAAAACAAAATAGGCTATTTTAGCCACAAAAAACAAAACATCAAATCCAACCCATAATCATTACAATCCTCTCTCACAAAAAAAGTCAAAAAAACCAAAAAGCCAAAAAGCCCTTTCCAAACCAGGCTAAAATAGCCCAGGCTAAAATAGCCAAAAAGCCAAAAAACCAAAAAGCCAACCCACTTCCCAAACGGAGGCTAACAATACCTTTAAAATGAGACCAATATTAATTATATTTAACAAAAAATTAAATAAAATAATTTAAATTTTGGAGAAAAACTGGGTAAAATTTGAAAGAAAAGTGAGAAAATGTTCAAATTTTTGAAGAAATAGAAATGTATGATTAGAGTTGTCATAAATAATAAGATCCTCTAAACTCACTTTTTGAATAAAAAATATTATTTTATTCCTCTATATTAGAGAAATAGAGATGTATGGGTTGGAGATGCTCTTAGGGGCGAAAAAAAAGTAAAGAATACGGTACGTTTTTATTTATTCTATTCTAAAAAAAATATTTATTTACAATCTTGTTTGGCAACATTATTTTTTAGTTTAAAAATTAAAAAATCATTAAAAAAATCAAAAAATTAACAATTTATATAAAAAATTCAAAGATTTTCTTTTTTGTCTATTTTTTATATATCTTTCGTAAAAAACTAAAAAGTCAACCTAAGGGTCCGTTTGGGAAGGGCTTTTCCGGGCTTTTTTTGGCTATTTTAGCTACAAAAGACAAAATAGACTATTTTAGTCACAAAAAACAAAACATCACATCCAACCCATAATCATTACACTATTCTCTCACAAAAAAAGTTAAAAAAGCCAAAAAGCCAAAAAGTCCTTCCCAAACCAAGCTTTTTAGCCCAGGCTAAAATAGCCAAAAAAGTCAAAAAGTCAAAAAGCCAACCCACTTCCCAAACAGAGGCTAAGCATATTAGTTTTTTTTACATCATATTTTAGCAAAAAAGTAAAAAATTTACTAAAAAAACATGTTTCCAAACGATGCCTTAGGAGTTGTTTGCAATGTTTTACAAATCGAACCGGTGAGTGAACCGGAAAAAGGATCGGGTGAACGGATTACCGGGGTTGAACCGGAATCGAATCGTGACGTCATAAATATATTAAAATTTATTTAAATAAAAATATAAGTAATAAAATTATATATTAAAAAATTAAATAATCTTAAATATTTCTCCTAATACTTTTTTTTACTAAAAATTAAAAAAAAATATTTTAAAAAATATTAATTTTAATTTTTTATTAATTTTAATTTTGGAAGAAGAAATCAAATATTCAATATTCCATCCATATGATTTTAATTCAAATAATTTGATTGCAAAGAAGAGAAAATTTGATTGAATCGCATATAGATTTTTTGATTTTTTTTGAATTTTTTTTTTCTTATAAATAGGTAGAGGTTTTCACAATAATTTCAAGCTCTCAATGGGATTCCTCACATGAAGAGACCCTTGAAAGAGAGTTTTCAATTAAAATTTTCTTATATATTGAGAGGGTGATTTATGATCCGGTGTTGGACCGAGGTATCGACCGAGCAAGTTGAGAGCCCAGCAGTGCATTGGGCCGAGATGATCGACTGTTCACCCAAAGATGGGCTACCAGAACTTGGGCCGGGCCGAGTTTGGACTGAGTGTATGCCGCCCCGGACCGTATGGAAGCTGCTCGGCCAGGAAGTGACCAGTCAGACCAGGATGCTCGGTCCGAGGATGGTCGAAACCAGACAGACCAAGAGACCAGCGCCCGGAAAGGCGCGGTCAGCCGAGGTAGTTGATTGACTGGCGAGAGGGCCAACCAAAGGAGGAGCCCGGGCTAGGCTTTGCCGAGATGCCGCTTAGTCCGGTCCTTCATGTGTTTGTCCGGCTAGGCGCATGGGTTTGAAGCATGACATGGCCGAGGTAGAACAGCTCGGCTGCCGAGCTCTAGCTGTGAGGTCAAGCAGTTGAGGTTAGGTGGTGAATGGCATGGTTTATGCTGACAGATGGGATAGCAGAGCCACGTGTCAGGAGATGACTGGGAGTGGATATGGGGTTCAGAAGGTATAAAAGCATGCCTGCGCCCCCCATACGCGACACACGAACATATCTGTAAGAAATCCTTACACTAAAACACTCTCTCCCTTCTCTCTATTCCCTCGAAGGTGTGTGCTAACTTGACCGTCAGAGGGTTTTTCCGGCCACACACCGCCGGGTAGCTCACCATTACTTGCTCGCAGGTGATCGGGGGAAAATGAGGGTTTTGATGGTTCGAATGTGGTATACGATGGATTTGGCTCGAGATTCAACGTGCATTTATTAAGATGAATGGTGAATTCTGATGCAGAAAACGAATTCGATTTTGGATTTTCGTAGGAGGGTTTTGGAACTCGAATAAGTAGCTACGAATTTTGCTGATGATTCAGAAATTGAAGTCGCGGGAAATTAAGGCGACGAAGAAGCCAGTCCTCGTGTGAAAGAGAATTGTGGACAAAGAAATTTTGGGGAATTTTGTAACGACGAAGTAAGATTTTTTGTATTTATAGTTGGTTCTTTCAAATTTCCTGAGATATATATGGAAATTTTCTTGCTTTGTGATTAATTGTTGGTAAACTATCTTATACTGTTTTATTTGGAATCTCTTTCTTCTTTTTATTTATTTATATTTTTTTAGGTTTTTCCTAAACGAGTAATCTTCATTGCTTTTTCGAGATTTTTTTAAAAAAATTATTTTGTGTTTTTGTTTGATTATATGGCTGTGCAACCTTGATTCAATTGGATGGAAATTTGGAAGTAACTACAAGTCTTTTCCATGAATTGCCTGTATTGAGGCAAAAGGGTATGTAGTACTTTTGGAAATCGAAGAAAATGAACAGTAACCTAGAGGATGAGATCAGCTTTATGCTGATGAATCGAAGTGCAAATAAATTCTGATGAATCAATTTTTTGTTGATGATCACAGTGCAAAAATCAATGTTAAATTCTAAAAAATGAAACATTGAATGCTGTGATCTCTGACCAAAATGAAACATTGATTCATCAGATGATAAAATCAATGTTTCATTTTTGCACTGCTGAAACATTGATTCATCATTCTGAAAAATTGATTCATCAGCATCAGCACTGTGATCATCAACATTGATTTTTGCATTGTGCTGATAAATTCTGGTCCATTCATTCAATGTTTCATTTTCTTCGATTCTCAAACTTCATCAGCTTTATGCACTGTGCTCTTCCAATTTTTTGTTTCATTTTGGTCAGAGATCTTTGTATGGAGTCCGTAATGCTGATGTTGATATCTTAGAGGATGAGACAGAGTCCTGTCTGTGGTGTTGGGAGGTGATAAATTCTATTTTTTTTAATCCATGGCTATATTCAATCTTTGTCTTTCTTCAACCATTTGAA